CTTCTGCCATGCAAATGGTTCGTAATCTTGCTCCTTCAGGGTTCATTTATTTTGTTATTAACTAACTGAACAAGGATGGAAACGTAGATCTTTTCCTAACCATTCTGGTACATATTTTATAAGCACACAAGGATAAGACTTTCTAATTGCAGCTTATGCAACTAGTTCCATGTCACTAATAAAATTAGTTTAACTGTGAATGTAATATGCAGTGTAGAGGCATTAAATGTCCCTGCAATAGACATTCTGGATGTGCAAAGATATCAACCCATATGTTCCCTTTAAAATCGTCTTATCTAAAGGGTTTTTTCTTACTGTGTCAGTTTTTATCCTATCTTTGGGTTTGATTAAATAATTTTTAACAAATAAATGAACAAGTATTTAAACATTGAAAATACCAAAACTTGGAGAGATAAGCATTAAAATAACAATCAATAAAATTACTAAAACTAGTTGGTAATAAGTATGCAAATAATCATTATAAGTATATAATAAAGAATAGATATGAAAGGCGGCGGAAAAACAAGTCAACAAAGCATGTGAAAAAGGTTAACAAGATCGTTTAATAGATTTTATCAAGCCCAAGAAGGGATAGTGGCACTTCGACTTTCTTATGAATACTCAGACAAGGGTTGTTACCTCGAATCCTTATGGCTTCTATTATATATATGAAATGAGACTGAACCGCATTAGGAAATGAGGATGGTATATGGTAAATCACTTGGAACGATAGCCATTTGACCAGCACCTGTTATTTCCATCTACTACATTTAGTTATTTCAACTGGAAAGGATTATCCAGGGCAGAGTTAGGTGGAGGGTTTCGGCGGGCGGCCTATGCATCTCTATGAGAGGTAACAGGTGTAAGTAAGTAATTACGTTTAATTATTTAATATATTTCATTGTTATTAATAATTCATGAATCGGTTATATTTGTATAAATACTACCGTATATTAAAGTGAAGTTTGATAATGATTTAACTGAAAACCATATTGTTCACTTGTAAATGTTATTATAATTTACTCAATGAGAATTTTAAATATTTATTCCCTCTACTTATCAACTGTAGATTAGAGATAGTTTTTTATGGCCCTTAGCTTTTAATAATTAATAACTATAATTAAAAAAGCATTTGGTGTGTTTCAATTTTAAGGAAACTTACCACTTGAATACAATCATTACTATTTACTATCAATATGGAATCAGAATAATGAATTGAATACGAATAGAATTTGACATTCTGTAGTATATTTATGATTGAATTGCCTTAATTCATTTAAATAAAATTATTTCTTATTTCTATCAAATCAACGTGACAATAACTATCAGAATAGAAAAAAACCTTCTATCTACAATTCAGTAAACGATATATTTATATATTGTATTAATTTCTTATCGATCAATGTTACTCGGATATCAAACCTTTGGTAGTACATGAATCACGCAGATCTATACAAAATCCACAAAACCATTAGAATTTTTCGGTGTGTGTATACTCGCGTTTTTTCTTAACGAACATGTATTGATTTGTTTTTTTTAATAGATATTCACTATTGAAATATTCTTGTATATTATTACACTTAATAAAACTGGAAGAGTTTAAGAAGGAAAAACAAGTAAAGTCAACTGGCTTAGTCTCATGAAATTGTATAAAATATATTTATACGAATAGTTGTCAATATTAGAATGAATAGTTTGACAGAAAATTGGGCAATAAGGATAAAGAAGTCATTATATGTGAAAATTATATTTGAAATTATATCAGAGATTGAAATTTAAACTAATTCCAACGTTTCGTCCAACAAACTTGTTTGGACTTCTTCAAGGTATCAATCAAAATATATTTTTGTTAAATTTTTATTGAATACGAATTATTATTTATTATTCTGAGTAAGTTATATAACTATTTTAAATGTTATAATAATCTTTTCCATTTTATCAATAACTTGTGAGTTATAATAAACGCTGGGATATTTTTTAAAAACTTCATAATTGTTAAAGAAGAAAAACCCATTTGTTAGAGTTATAAATGAGGTAATAAATTGAACACGGTATATAAGTACTTAAAAACATTCCTAGAATATTTGTTTATTTTCTTAACTTAATGTACTCATTTTAATGAAACGAAACTATCTTGGAAACTTTATTGCTTACCCTGAAACTGGACATATCGTTCCTTACTGAGTAATAGTTTAAAAAAATAAAGTAGATGAAAGAAGTTTATATATATATATATATATATATATCCTCATCTTAACATTATCTGACACAAACGAAACATTAGTAACCAGAGCTGTATTATCGTCATTTAAAGGTTAAAATTGACACAAGTTATGTATTGCTTGTACATACAATCTATAATAAGTTTACAAATTAGTGTTGATGGTCACTGACTTTGTAAATATACATATCCGATTGTCTATTTGTCTAGAGAATGACAATCAACTAATAGATTGGTTTTTAATTGAGATCATGAATAGATGGATGTTAGACCATCATTTAGAACGTGGAATCACTGGATGGCTGTTTCGTTCTGGCATGGAACTCTTCAACAGTGTGCGTCCATGATCCCGCCGGCGGTAGAGACAGGTACCTACCTCAGACAATCGAAGACGGTCACTCAGTTTCGTGGATTGGTTGAGATTAGATAATAACACCGTTGGATACCGGCTCAGTGGTCTAAAAGTCACGCGTTCACGAGCGAGACAGAAGGTCCTCGGTTCAAGTCTCGCGTGCGGGGTCGTGGATACGCACTGTTGAGGTGCTCCGTACTAGGACGGGACGGCCATCCAGTGCTTCCAGGTTTCCCATGGTGGTCTAACATCAATCGGTTCATGATCTCAATCAACAACTTACCACTCTTCACAACCCAACAGATTAGTAATAGTATAATTCTTTAATGAAATTTTTACCAACAGATGAAAAAGCTACTGGTAAATAGTTGCTTATGATGCTAAAATAATTTATACGACACAAATTGAACATGGACTGTGTCGTTTTGCATCTAGATAGTCTTCTCTCTTACAAAATTTTGCAAACTCATTAGCATTAACTATATAAGTCTTAAATATTTTAAAATGGTATCTTCATTGACATTACTTAATAGGCGATGAAGTTGTTTATCAAAAGTCACTACAATTTAGTATCTTGAAATTGATTAGTGAACTAGTATGGTACAGTTTTAAGGTATTTCATAACCATATATCTTTATTAAATACATTAGATTAATGGTAGAACTGCATAAAATCTCACTACAAATTAATGATCAGTATTGATATGTCAGATGCAATAGTAAAATTCCTCTAAAAACATCCATAATTTTCTAAAATAATCAAACATATATCTTCTTAGAAAATTAAACATTTTCCAAAATATATTCACATGTACAATAATTTATTTAAAAAATATAGACTGAAGACAATCTGAATTGAAATTCCTTAGCTTGGTTATATCAGTACAGAGTTATGAGTAAAATGCTTCTAAACTAGATTTTACGGTAGTGGACGCTACTCACAAGGATGTTTGCAAGTATTATGTGGTAGGGTGTGACGTTACTAATGGAACGATAGCCAAACGGAGTGAAGAGTTTTGGTGCATCGAAAGCATGGAATCGGCATAGCACATGGAGACCAGACGAGAAGACGGTTCAGATTGCAGAACACAGAGGAAGATGCACATGTATTATGTTAATACTTAATAACATTAAAAAACTTCGTTTGTTGTTATTTCATCTAGACATTATAAGATTTGGTAAACTATTGTTGTAAAACAGCTATAGGTCGAACCGACCTACCTTACTTATATTTCATTTTTGACTTGTAGAAAAATATTTATTAACTTTCCTAATGATTCGTAGTAGTAGACTCGTCAATTATCATTCGTCAAACGAGAGAGTACCACGTTAAGTGGGAGAAGGCATTTGACTAGACACTCTGGATTAGGTCTTGTACAAGCTGGTTTAATAAGGTGTACTAAAAACCTAGAGAAAACTAATGCTTCTTTTATAATTCAAACCAGTTTCAGCCAGCCTCATAGTTAGGGATGCTGCTATTAAGCTATATGACTTATTCACAATATTTTGCCAAACATTCATATGGATACTGCTATTCGATTCTCTTTAGTTTAAGCAGAATATATGCCGGAAGGAAAGATAAGGTAATCATTTTTTCCACATAATTTTCATTTTAAAGAAATATATCGAACTATTTTAGAGTGATATAACTAGACAGATTACCTAACAGCCCAATGAATTTATGAATAAACCCCTCAGTTGAAGAGTAGTTTAGACTTTACTTATTAATCAGGTAATGTTTTCACAGAATCGTAGCATCTGATACCAATCTTATATTTACAACTCATTAAATACTCATATAAAAAATCTTGCAAAAATAATTTCTAAATTAAATAAACAGTAAAAGCTATACTACTGAATAGGAATACTTAAATTTATGCATAAACTTCAATACTTCACTTATATGGCGGGATTAAGTGAACGTAATTTAAATTATATAATAATAAGAACAATAAGTAGAGGTAAAAATGTATCTGTTTTTCTTATACCTGTGAGAAAAAATCAATTTGCAAAAGTAATTTTAAAAAAAGAAACTATTTACAGACTTTTGAATAACTGAAATAACACTCAAACTAACAACATGAACGTTGATAATAAATTACATTTTGCAAATGCAATACATGAGTAAAAAATTTGTTTAGTCGTTGAATACTCGAAGATATATTCAGCACTTGTTCTTTGAGGCAAATTTCTTCTTTCTTTTTCGTTTTCTTCTCCCTTCATTTGAATTTACTGGTAATCTTTTTTAATAAGTTTGGTTGAAATCAATGAAGGATAAATATAACTTGAATTGGATGCAAAAACAATTACTTAAGGTCCTATACCATTAAGTTCATATTCAGATAAATCATTCTAAAAACTGTAATTTTTAAATAACTTAATGATTGAAGTGGTATTTCGTTTAATCAAATAATGAATCTTATATATTTCAATGAAATCTAGAAATAAATGAATATTTGAGTAGAAAATCAGTCTGATGTAAATTCTGAATATTCGATGTGATTACATTATCATCATCATCATCATCATCATCATCATCATCATCATCATCATCATCATCATCATCATCATCATCATCATCATCATCATCATCATCATCATCATCATCATCATCATCATCATCATCATCATCATCATCATCATCATCATCATCATCATCATCATCATCATCATCATCATCATCATCATCATCATCATCATCATCATCATCATCATCATCATCATCATCATCATCATCATCATCATCATCATCATCATCATCATCATCATCATCATCATCATCATCATCATCATCATCATCATCATCATCATCATCATCATCATCATCATCATCATCATCATCATCATCATCATCATCATCATCATCATCATCATCATCATCATCATCATCATCATCATCATCATCATCATCATCATCATCATCATCATCATCATCATCATCATCATCATCATCATCATCATCATCATCATCATCATCATCATCATCATCATCATCATCATCATCATCATCATCATCATCATCATCATCATCATCATCATCATCATCATCATCATCATCATCATCATCATCATCATCATCATCATCATCATCATCATCATCATCATCATCATCATCATCATCATCATCATCATCATCATCATCATCATCATCATCATCATCATCATCATCATCATCATCATCATCATCATCATCATCATCATCATCATCATCATCATCATCATCATCATCATCATCATCATCATCATCATCATCATCATCATCATCATCATCATCATCATCATCATCATCATCATCATCATCATCATCATCATCATCATCATCATCATCATCATCATCATCATCATCATCATCATCATCATCATCATCATCATCATCATCATCATCATCATCATCATCATCATCATCATCATCATCATCATCATCATCATCATCATCATCATCATCATCATCATCATCATCATCATCATCATCATCATCATCATCATCATCATCATCATCATCATCATCATCATCATCATCATCATCATCATCATCATCATCATCATCATCATCATCATCATCATCATCATCATCATCATCATCATCATCATCATCATCATCATCATCATCATCATCATCATCATCATCATCATCATCATCATCATCATCATCATCATCATCATCATCATCATCATCATCATCATCATCATCATCATCATCATCATCATCATCATCATCATCATCATCATCATCATCATCATCATCATCATCATCATCATCATCATCAATGTCTAACCTCTCTTAGAACAAACAGTCAAACGCAAATACTTATATTTTCAAAGTTGAGGAATATTTTGTAAGCACTGAATGTTAATTACTGATATTACTCAAGAGAATTAAGTTGATGAATTAACTTACATAGATTATTTATTATAGTCAATGGTTGATATCACTTCTGATATTTTGCTTTGTTCGTTTTATTTATTTATTTATTATTTATTTATTTTTTAGTTGACAGATTGCATCTGTGTTAGTAAATCTACCGTTTACTAACGAACCTAAGTTTGAAGCATCTAAAAATTATTTATATTTCATTGCACAATCTTCATTCATCAATTAAATACTTTCCTTAGCAAAGTCATGTATGCATTTGTTTAAATGTATTTATGTCAACAAAGTTATGTCATGACCTCAGACAAAAAAAACGCAAATAAGATGGATATTCATACTGTACAATACTCCATTTCTTATATTTATGTCATATTATTTCTTATATAAATAATTAACCTGACTTCTTGTATCGCAACGTGATTCAGTTTGTTTTACACTTATTTTTAAAAAGAGTCAGCTTATTTGTATGCCTTAATTGGTTAAATTCTATTTCGAAATAATGTATGAATATTGAAAATTTTATATAATTTTGTGGTCAAATTATGTAGTAGGATCAATTGTCTAATAGTTATTAACATAAACTGTGCCAATTTATTGTCATTTGTCCATTTCATAAACCGACAATAAGATGAAATACTGTTTATTTAGTATTGACAAATGACATATCATAGTTATATGAATTTATTTGTATTTAGATCACATATTTTTTTTTGTATATACTAAATATGATCACATAATGATTGTTAACTCTTATAACTAATATGAAATAAGTAAGCACTAATTTATGTTTATTTGGGAAATATATAAATTAAGAAATCCGCTCTCTTTATATGACCCTAGTCATATGGCCTTGTTAACTATTTAAAAATAGAATAAATAATTGTGCTGTTTTTTAAAAAATGTGAAATTCGGTGCCATAGTATAAATTAGTTACTCTAAGTAAATCAAAAACAAAAAAAATTAAACTTAATTATCTATACAAATGAAATTCACCATACTTTTTTTCATAACTTATAGTTACAGTTAATGTTTAGTCTGTTCATGTAAGAATATATACATGTATACAAATATTAATAAACAATATGATAGAACTAAGCTATTCATTTTATAAACATTCATAAATTTCAGTTTACAAAATATATAATAGCAATATTTACTAAACTGAATAGTGAAATGAATAATCGAAAATATGATCCAATTTACTAAATAGATTTGTTTGTAAAATGATTTAAAGAAAAATAGAAATAATCATTTATACTTAAATTCACTTGATGTTGACTTATTTGTATTTTCCCATTGTTATTTAGAACTGTAATTGATCAGTCTCTTGTTGTCTTTTGTGTATCCTTTGTGGATTATCTTGATATAGCTTTAAGTCACAAGCTTTTTAAGCAAAGATAGATAGTGGCTAACAGTGGATGACAGGACGCACGTTTCGTTGATGTAAACATCAACTCTGGGATGCAGGTACATCCAGCTGACGAGTCCAAAATAGGATGAAACGCGCGTCCTGGATTTCATAGCTTAAGAAGTCATTTATATTGTTTTATTATAATTTAGTAAATAAGTTTTAAACATAGACATATTTGATTAGTCTATTGATAGTATAGTTTAAAGCTAATAACGTTGTATATATGATAAGTGACATTTACTTGATATTATTTATTTGAATCTTCCCATTGATGATTAGGACTGCAATTGATCAGTCACTTAATGGTATATGTATATACTGTGCGTATTGTCTCGATATTGCCTTAATTCACAAGTATAATAAATCACATTGTTGATATCACATTGAAAGATCATTAAAATTTATTGCCAAAATCATATTTAATATAAAAATCCAAATGTTACTTTTCTGAGATGAATATGAATGTGAAATTATTGTAGCTATACGACAATTTTTCAAATAGTTATATATTTTAGTTAAAACAGTTGTTGTGCATGATGACAGACATTTCTTTAATGCAATAAATAGATTTACTTTATCATGTAAATAGATCATTCTATTCATATAAAAATTTATCATGTAAACAACAATAGTAATCATTATGCCAGTAACTAACCGATTCTAAAGTTTAAAAAGGTTTACAGAATTAATGTGCATTTTTAATGTTATTGTTCCAGTTTTACTCCTTCAATAAAAATCAACTGTAGCGCATGCCGAGCACGTGGCTTTAACTGACAGTTCAGACTATCACACGACATGATTACGCAATCACATGGGAAAATGTTTGACATACCATTCATTTATATGAATTGTATAACAATAGTATTATAAACGGTTATTTCTAGTTCTTATAGTAAGAGCACAGTAATTTTGGAGCTTATTTACGATATAAGGGAAGAAATACGTAAGCAACCTTCCAAAATACTTATCACATGATTTTATTTAAACTCTCTCTTTGATTAAGTAGCTTATTAGTCTGGTGAAATTTATGTCAACAGGTTTTAGTAATCACATAATTTTTATTGCAGGCTCATCTAATTTTAGAATGTATTTCAGTATGTGACGGTATGTTTGGTGGCCTGCTTATATATCTAGGTTACCTGTTTCTGCCATCTAGATATTCCAACAAATATCTATTTTTTGTTTGTTTTAATACATCATTATGTCTATAAATCACATAACTGATTCAGGTGAATTTATGAAACGTTTACAACCCCTCACTGTAGAAGTTACAAAAAAGTACAATCAAAGACATCATAGTGGCTGGCAATATGCATTGAAAAGAATTAACATTATTCAGATGTCAATTCCTAAACTTCTGACATGTAACTGGTGATCACTCAATATTTATCGCGCAGATCGATCAAGAAATAAAGAAAGGAAACTTGTTGAAATACTTTGTGCTGAGAATTTTATATTGTTAGTATAGGGGTTGTGGAGATTATTAAGTTTTTGATTGAGATCATGAGCCGGTTGATGTTAGACCACCACTGAAAACCTGTAAGCACTGGACGGCAGTTTCGCCCTATTGTGGGACTCCTCAGCAGTGCGCATCCACGATCCCGCTTGAGGGATTCGAACCCAGGGTCTTCGGTCTCGTGCGCGAACGCCTAACCTACTGGACCACTGAGCAGGCATCCAATGGTGATAGTGTTTAACATCAGTGATCTCAATGATCTCAATCAAATTCTATATTGTACCAAAAGTGTAATATTGAATAAAGCCTCTATTAATAATAATATGATAATAATGATTCATTATCATGCAATTAATATTCAAAGCTAAACACATAAATAGTCTTAATTGTTCAGATATGTTGTTTATTATTTTAAAAACTTATAGTTATAATAAGAACATATTTAAGTTTATTTCACTTTTCAGAATGTTTACAATGATTTACTTATTAAAACACAACTTTCGTTATTTTTGTTCCAAACTATTCGAAATGAATTTTGGTCATAATTTGTATTCATTTAGTGAACATTAACTTTCAGTGTCATCTTTTTCAGTGGTTATTTAATTAAGGTCATTCAGTACTGAGAAATGATTTCAAATTAGATATGTTTCCATGTCTGTTGTGTCCAACAAGATTTTATTCACTTATTCTAGATGTAAATGTATCACAACTTTAGTCAGTAACTACTTCCAAAATAACAATAAGTAGAAATAAACTGAACATTTCATTATTAAAAGTTGAATCAATCATGAACTGATATATTTTAGCAACATTATTGGTGTTAGATGGTTAGACATAATCTCTCAAAGACTCTGTACATAGATTCCATGTATTGGGTATTTATCTATAAGATGTGTCTGAAATTTCAAGATAATTAATGCCCTCTAGGGAATTCAAATTGATATTGATAAATCTTCTGGATTATCTCTTCACAGAGTAGAAAACCTAGGTATAAAACTGGTTACCCGTAGTTTACAACCACTAAATTATTGTCATCTTGAGTTCTGCTCTTAGTATTCAATGGATACTAAGGACAAAACAATGTAATACAAATTAAACAGAGTCACTTTGTTCACTTGGTTATACTGAGTTATAAATCTACAATAAAATAAAACGTAATACATTTAAATCTAAATTAAATGTCGACGAATAGCTTTCATAATAAATTTTTCTTAGGTCAGTTTTCTATAAAATAGTTTATCAGAACAGGGTTCGATGCTCGAAACATTGTGAATTATGTATTTGAATTCAAATGGTAAATAATATCAATAGTTCAGTTAACACCATATTAAATCATTATATGATACAAAGATCTAATACAACATCATTTGATATTAGTACATACACACACATTAACAACCGGAGCAACAATTCTTATAGGTACAAGGAACGTCTCGACAATGTGTGAGACTGCGAGGACCAGTCAAATAGCGGAGGGAATGAGTAGGTACAACTTGGCGGTAATGAGAATCATCAAAACCCATTAGACACGAGTTGGTCAGAAACGATAGATTTGGAAGAGATGCTACTGTACTCTGGTCACACATTCACGGAGTTAATCCGTTTCTGTCCAAAGAAGCACGAAATGCGCTTATAGGATGGGAATCTCATGAATCCAGGATCATCAAAGCATCATTCAAAACAAAGAAGAAGAAAACTATAATAAATGTTACGCACCCACCGATGATAGCAATGAAGACGATAAAGATAACTTTTATGAGAGGTTGCAATCGATCACAGAGAAGTTTTCAGGAAATGACCTCACAATCCTGATGAGAGATCTAAGTGCCAAAGTCGGAATGGACAACATCCGATATGCAGATATGATGAGATTACATAGACTGACCGGGATATTGGAACGAGAATGGTGAGAGATTTGTAAATTAATGTGCATTCAGTAAAGTGGTTGTAGGTGGCACAATATTTCCACATAAATGCATATACAAAGCTATATGAAACTCCTGGGAGCACACCACAGAGGATCAGATGGACCATATTTGTGTCAACAAAGAATTCAGAAGGAGAATGAAGACATGAGAACCAGGAGAGGAGCTGACACTGCTTCAGATCACAGCCAACTGGTGGTCTCCAAGATGAAACTGAAGCCAAAGAAAAACTGGACGACTGGATAAACGGCATTGCAAAGGTTCATTGCAGCATTCCTATGAGATACTAACAAACTCAAAGAATTCAAGATAGCTCTCAACAATAGGTTCCAACCCTTACAGGATTTACCTGGAGAAAGGGAAACTACCATGGAGAACAACTGGACAGGGATCAAAAAGGCGCCAACGTCAACATATCAGGATGTGCTTGACCGCGAGAAGCATCATCATAAAGAATGGATCTCTTGCGAAACCCTGGACAAGATTCGAGAAAGGAAGAACAACAAGACAGAAATCAACAACAGCTGAACAACAGCAGAGAAAGTCAGGGTACAAGCTGAATATATTGGAGCAAACAAGCGAGTGAAGAGGAGCATTAGAGACGCTAAGCGGAAATACGTGGAAGAGCTTGCAACAACAGCGGAAAAAGCTTAAAAGAAGGAAATATGAGACAGTTACATGACTTGCGGGGAAATATAGTAGACTAGTGAGACCGGTCAGGGATAAAAAAACAAGCCAATCACTGAAATTCAAGAACAGAGGAACAGATTGGTGGGACACTTCGAGGAACTCTTGAATAGACCAACTCCAATGAATCCATCGGACATCGAGACAACACACATAGATCTTCTTATAAATGTCACTCCACCAACGATCGAAGAAATTAGAATGGTCATCAAACAAATCAAGAATGGGAAAGTAGCTGGATCTGACAATATACCAGCTGAAGCACTAAAGTCAGACATAGAGGTAACTGCAAAGATGCTCCACGTTCTATTCAGGAGGATTTGGTAGGAAGAACACGTGCCACCGACAGACTGGAAAAAAGGACACCTCATCAAGATGCTACAGAACGGAGATCTCAGCAAATGTGAGGACTACATAGGGATCATACTACTGTCAGGACCAGGAAAAGTATTCAACAGAGTGTTGCTGAACCGAATGAAAGACTCAATAGACGCCCAACTTCGAGGTCAACAAGATGGATTCCGTATGAATTAGTCACACACAGACTAAATTATGACACTACAGATTATCGTTCAACACTCAGTTGAATGCAAGTCGTCACTATACGTCAACTCCCTTGACTATGAGAAAGCATTTGACAGAACATCATGGGAACTTCTGCGACATTATGGCCTATCTGAGGAGATCGTCACCATCATACGGAATTCATATGACGGACTACACTGCAAAGTGGTGCATGAAGATCAGCCGACAGAGGGATTTCAAGTGAGGACCCGAGTCAGATAAGGCTGCCTACTATTCCCCTTTCCCTTTCTTCTGGTGGTTGACTGGATTATGGAAGCTTCTACATCTAAGGGAAAGCATGGAATACAGTGAACAGCTCGAAATCAATTAGAGGATTTGGACTTCAAAGAAAAACTCTCTCTTCTATCCCATACACAGCAATAAGTACAGATCAAGACAAAATGTGTAGAAGCAGTTTCTGCGGCAGTAGGCCTCAACATACAACACGGAGAACACCAACCCAATCACACGTGATGTAGTAACTCTGGAAGAGGTGGAAGCTTTCACGTACCTGGGAAGCTTCATAGATGAACAAGGATGCAGACGTAAAGGCAAGGATTGGCAAAGCATTCCTATAGTTGAAGAACATATGTAACTCAAAACAACTGCCAACAAACATCAAAGTCAGAATCTTCAATACGAATGTCGACGTTTCTACTGTACGGAGCTGAAACTTGGAGAACTACTAAAACTATCATCAGAAAAAGTACAATCGACTATGCAAAACACTCAATGTGTATTGGCCGGATACCAACAACAACAAACTACTGTAAGAGAGAACAAACCAGCTTCCTTCTGGAGAGAAGATTATGAAAAGACGTTGGAAGTGGGTGGGACATATATTGAGGAAATCACCAGACTGCATCACAAGGCAATCACTAATTTAGAATCCTGAATGGAAACGAAAAAGGGGAAGGTCAAATAACACATTGGAAGCAGACATGAAAATGATGATATTGAAC